ACTGAGGCTTCCATATGGCTCAATCCCAAACTCTGCATTAATAAATCGCTGTTTTTCTGGAGACTGTGGGTCCAGAGAGGGATACTTGTTCTCGGAGACCTGTATCAGGGGAGGATTCTCAAGTCCTTCAACGACCTTAAAGCACAGTTTCAGTTGCCACAAAGTCAGTTTTGGAGGTACTTGCAGCTCCGGCACTTATTGCTCAAAACCTTTGGTTCCTCCTCCACACCACCTCCAAATATTGAATACCTCAGCTACATCAAAAAAATCTTTGGGGGGGGGGTCGTGAAGTCTCTAAATATTACTCAATGCTTGTTACGGGCACGAGTAAAGGACTACCTGCCCTCCGGTTAGCTTGGGAATCTGACCTTGGTGTGGCTTTTACAGATCAGGAATGGACTGCAATTTTGCAGAATAGTAAAAAGATGTCCAGGGAACTTAGAACGAGACTAATCCAATTCAAATTACTACACCGAATTTACTGGTCGCCACACAGACTGTATAGGGCGAACCGCACTCAGTCCCCTGAATGCTGGAGATGTCAGACTGGGGTAGGCACATTGACCCATATGATTTGGAGCTGTCCTAAAACCCAAATCTTTTGGACTGAGATACATGACTTTATCAAATCAACCATACGATGGGATATTCCTTTTTCACCAAGACTATTTGTTTTGGGAGACCCATCACTCCTTAACTATGCTCCACCTAAGGCTGCTGAATGGGTACAGACTGCATTGATGCTGGTGCGTAAACTCATTATCTCCCAGTGGAAGGCCCCCTCCACCCTACCTGTCTCTGTATGGCATATTCAACTAGGGAGACTCGCTGCACTAGAACAACTCTCATACAGGCTCCTTTATTCTGTCCAGAATAAAACGACCAGACTAGACCTTAGAGTGGGATAGTCATTGGAATTCTGATGAAGGCCTCTCAGGGATGTCAGAGTGTGGCATGCAGTAAGACCCACATAGTCAAAGGCTGGCTGTTTTTGTTTCTTTTGTATTGTTTTTGTTTTTTTTTGTTTTTTTTCCTTTCCATGCTTTTGTTTATCTCTTGTTTTGTTTGCCCCCCCCTCATTTTGGTTTGGTATTCTCTACTGTTCTGCTGCTATGCTGATGTTTTTTTATGTGATGTAATCTGTCTCCGGACTGTAGTGTTCTAAAAGTACAATAAAATATTAATCACAAAAAAATACTAAAATCAGAATAAAACCAATTATAAAAGACAAATACAAATTCCCACTCTGTGACATAAGGGCTATTTGACCAAGAAGGAGAGTGATGGAGTGCTGCACCAGATGACCTGGCCTCCTCAGTCAACTGACTTAAATCCAATTGAGATGGTTTGGGGTGAGATGGACCGCAGAGGGAAGGCAAAAGTGCTACCAAGTGCTCAGCATCTCTGGGAACTCCTTCAAGACTGTTGGAAAACCATCTCAGGTTTTAATTGTGGTCTTCTTTGTTGGCATTCTCCTGTGCCATACTAACCCGCTTTGTTTCCTCTTTCACTGCATTCTCTTTTCTTCTTGCCTGGCAGTTCCAACTTTAACATCCTATTTCCAAACCAACTCAAACATACCTCTGTAGATTAAAATTAAGACTTTATTGTGGTATTTTGCTTTCTTTGTATAGAGTCTTGTGACAAGTTTTATAATAAACGTTTAACAGCAGAGAGAAAGCAGAAGAAATGAGAGGATGAAACAAGATAATTATAAATACAGAGCTTGAGTTCCGTTTTAAAATGTAAAGCTATAGTTTTTAGATTTAGATAACTGTATTTATCCCCACGGGGTAGTTGAGAGTGCAGAGTGGCATATATACAGTTAAAAAGAATAAGAAGAATAAGTGCAAGGCAGATAAATAAATAAAACATGTTGGTGAAATTGCTCCTTCTTTTATGAAGTGTCTTGCCAGCAGGGGGAACTAGAAGTTGGAAAGTTCTGGTTTAAAAATGGCTCTTCTCCCCATCTGACGTGCATTTTCCATTCTGTGCTCCTGCTGTGCACACTGTGAGCTGACTGATAATCTGCTGTTTGGACAGTGAACATAAAAAGTCCACAGACTGTTGACCTAAGCGAATGCTACTCACGCTAACATCTGCCAACCTTTAGAGACCGCAAACACGAAGATTCACACCTTGATTAATTCAGAGTCAGCTGACTTACAACATTTATCCTGCTTCACAGTGAAGTCACTGCTGACTCCTCTCCAGCCAGCTCTTATGTGATGGATTTGGGAAGTAGGGTGGCTCAGAGAGAGAGAGAAAAAAGAGAGAGAGAGCTAGACAAGGAGGGAGGGGGAGAGAGAGACTTTTGCACAGCTTGCCTACCTTGTTACTCCTGTGCCAGCTCCAGCATGCATGTCTGCCTATCTGTTGATTTGTGAATTTGTGTCTGAATGCACATCACACTTTGATCTCTCATCTAGCAGCTCATCGAGAGGACACAGGTATGCTTGGATCTTTCTCTCTCACTCTCTCTCTCTCTCTCTCTCTCTCTCTCTCTCTCTTGTTTTTTTAAACTTGCAGAAAATAAATCTTGGACTCCTCTACAGGATCAAACGTGAAGGAGTACTGTGCTCTGAATTAAGACTGTGATTTGATTTTGGGGGCCGAGTGAGTCTTTTAATGCTGTGAGCGTTAGAAGGATGATTGCAGGAAGGACAAATACAAGACAGAGAAATGGACAGGAGGTGTGTCTTATCAGCTCACTCTTCAACTTTGACATTGAAAGCTGACCTTTTGTGAATATGCAATATCACTCTGCCCCCATTGTGCATTGTACAGAAAGAGTGCTTTAAATCTCCCTGAGCATTTGCTTTATCACAAGTCTGTTAGAGCTAGGATAGGATCAATGGGAATCCAATTACTCAAGTAGGACAGTAAGGAAAGGTGGAGCACACAGCAGCAAGTAAGGACACAAATGAGCTTTGCTGTCTGTTTGTGTGCATGCAGGGCTTAACATTTTTGTGTGGTCAACTTTAAGGCTGCACAGGCCCGCAGAGCCACAGTGTCTGTGTGAGGAAATATGGCAACTAGGACGTCTGGATGGCGTTTGCTCTCTAAGGAAGGGGTGGAGTTGAAGGGTTGAAAGCTCACTCTTTGAACTTTTTATTATTCTTTTTTGTTCTTTAGTTCTGACTCTAACTTTTGCAGTGTTTTGTTGGTTTAGGCAGCCTCAGCAAGGTTAATAAAAAAAGAATGGTGAGCTTTGCCACTGGCACCAGCTTGAATGATTATCAAGTTGGACCAAAAGAAGGAACAAAGGCCATTCCGACGAGCCCTTCACAACCTTCCTTCTGACCCCATCTAACGAAGAAGAGGTGTTGTTTCCAGAGGAGAGCCAAGTCAAATAGATATTTGTTATGAAATTTCCCCTTGTGGGACTAATAAAGGTGTATCAATATCAATACACTTTAACAATAAACTGGTTGGCTTCTAATGTTTTTAAAGCTCACTGTAGCTTTTGTTATGATAAAAACTAATGTGTGTAATATATGAATTTACAATTTTATTCATTTTATGGTGTTTATTACTACAAAGCAGACTGTCCACAAGAACAAAAAAGACAATCCAGCCCAACATAAAGGATTTTAGTCCCCAAAACCTAATAAATGCCTCAAGAAATACATCAGCAGTGAGGGTACTCCTCTAAAATGAAAAAGTTTGTCCATTGCCTAAAAGGCTCCTATTGTTTTTACCCAGTCAGAGGTTTTATTGCACAAAAAAGTTACAAGCTGTTGCATAACAGACAGGAAAGGCCTTTCCTCTGTGAGGCAACACAAAAGAAACTGTCTTGTTTTTGAACTGCAGGTATGTGCGTTTAAAGCAGCAACAGTAAAGCAATCTTTAAATAAAACACATGTTCTTTACCAGATAGGAGGATTATTACTACAATAATACTATTTGCATTTGCAAGTTGTGTTAACCTTATTAATAATGATCATATTTGTATTTATGTTTATTTTTCATAATGTTATTCTTTTCAGCACCTTGTTTTTTAGCAGTTGAGGGTTTTTTTGTTGTTGTTGTTTTTACTCTCTGTGACTCCGCACTGTTCGTGTTTCTGCTCTTGGTTCTATTGTTATTGACTGTAAGAATTTCCCTCAGGATTGATACTTATCTTATCTTATAATTTTATTTCTTGTACTGTGGGAGATACGTTTTACCAGCTAATGGCTGAGAAACACAATGAGACAACAACACTCAGCTGAACCACTAGACAATTTCCTTATTGAAGTCATATTACGGTATAATAAACATGACATTTGATAGGCCTCCTTTGTAAAGATATCAACTGAAGGAAATTCCTCAGCTTTTCTACTAAAACTGAATCGAATTTTAACTTCTGCATTGCTAATTACCTCTATTTGTTTTTCTCTACAGCGATCCGCAACATGTAATACTGTGTTAAGTACTAATGTAACAAATTCAAGGTGTAGAGCGACTGTTAGAGGCTCATTAAGAGGTATGTTCTGAAATCAGCGAGACACGCAGACAGGCCACATGTTGTAAATGTGATACAACATCACACAGACGTGCTAAAAATATCTATTCTGGGACTGGCATGAGGGTGACAAATCTGTGCAGGCGAAGCTGAGCTGGGAACAGGGGGGTCACCTTCAGTCTATGTGGCACATTTGGGCTGAATGCATGCGTACACAACAGTGCTAACCATTATCAAAAATGTATATTTTCTCCAAAATTCTGATTTCATATGATTATATATTAACATTTCCTTTCAATTTAGAGGTAGACTGCGACATAATCGTTTCCATTTCGTGTCACTACTCTCGCCCTATTCTCATGCCATGTGAAATCACTAAAAGAGCTGCTACTCTCGGGTGACAGATGGAGATGTATACAGTGTCTAAACATAGTAAGATATGCAGGTCGAGGCTATAGATAGCCACAGACTGCTGCAATAACGACAAGCTAGTGAGCAACTTTTTCCAATCACAACCCTCACTCATGTCAATGAGAGCACAGACATGTAAAATCTGTAACAGTAGCAGCCATGAGGGGATTCTGTGGCTGTGCTGCAGAGTATCAGTAACTACATGTCTTTGTGAAGACATGAGGCTGTGTTTTCCAAAAAGTGGGACCCACTTGGAGCAGTGTGTGCTTTTCTGGCCTGTAGCAGCATGCACTGTAGTCTCTCTGTAGGTGTCCTTTATCGTACTACCACCACCACACAGACTTTTAAGGGTGCACACAGTGGAAGAATTGTGATTCTAAATTCTAAATAAAGGCATCCAGAACAGTGAGCACAAATGTTCTGATTTAAGCTGAGACACGAGGTGCTAATCTGAAAATAACTGAGGTAATATGTAATCAGCACAGTCCTCTTGGTAACATTTTGCATCACAGGCCTGGAAGTGGAGGTATTTTTGTCCTTTGAAGTAAAGAAAATAAAGTTATGTCTAACATTAGCACCTTCATGACTTGTTTACAACTCAAAAAGAAAAAACTACTGTCTTGATCTTGAGTATGACTTTTGGCATATTCAGAACAAGTAAAGCTGAATAAACGTAGGAATTACCACCACTTAAGACAAATATTGTAGACACAAGGGTTGTGCTGGATTTACGGTTTTATTAAAACACAAAGGTTTCCTAAGCAAAATGTACTTGAAGGTAAATACACTTCTGAAGAAGAGACCCTATCAGTGATTAACATGGGATTTCAATGCACTTATTTTAAGTCCTGTTTTATTTTCAATGCGTCATATACTCACCATCCACTTTATCAGGTACACCTTGTGGGAGCCTTTTTTCAGAGCTAACTTAATTCTTTGTGGTGCGGATCAAGCTAAGTGCTGTAAACACTCCTCACCAATTCTGCTCCATATTAACATGCTAGCATCATACAGTTGCTGCAGATTTGTTGGCTACACCTCCATGATGTGGATCTCCTGTTCCACCGCATTCCCAACAGTGCTCGATTAGATTGAGATCTTATGATTGAATCATCAAGAAACCTGCTTGAGATCATTTGAACCTTGTAACATGGTATCTAAGCCTGCTGGAAGCACCCATCAGAAGATGGGTACGCTGCGGGTGTAATGGGTTGAACATGGTCACCATCAATACTCAGGCTTTTATGTTTAAATGATTCTCAGTTGGTACTTTGGGGCCCAAAGTTATACCATAAATAATATAAAAGATATAGAATATCCCTCTTTCCATGTTTATACAAAATTTTGACCCTGGTGTGATATTTTGGTGAGTCTACCTGAATCTTTGTCCCACCTGCGATCTTTTCTGTCCCTTCTGCAGCCAGCCTTTATTCTGGAGGGAAAGGCCCCACTCGAGCCCACCAGGGGGGATGGAGGAGGCAGAGAGACCCTCATCCCTGCTTCTGCTGCACTGCTGACTCAGGCAGAAACTCCTGCACGCTGGCAGAGTGAGAGCCTGCTGGCAGAGTCCTGGTCCACAATGGGCGATGTAGACCCCGAGGACACCAAGAGCCTCGACAGCAGTGACGGGACACTTCTGACAGGGGAGGAGAACCACTCCTCCAACTCTGACATGGTCCACCTGGAGCGGGACGAGGCTGAGATGCTTGAGGAGGCAGAGAAGAAAGGGAAGCGAGCAGAGGAAGAGGAGGAAGAAGATGAGGAGATGCAAACAAGTATGTTAAGTGTGTTGGGTGGGGAGAGGGAGCTGGTGGCACTCAGGGAAGAGGAGCAGGACCTCCAGGCCCCAGAAACTCAGGAGCTCCTGGTGTCAGCAGAGGAGCCTTATATGGAGCGTGAGCCAGGAGAGTTCAGGCACGTGGTTCCCCCGATGGCCTTGCCTCCTCTGCCTATTGTTAAGCTCGACCCCCCCTCCACAACATCCACCCCAGTCCCTTCAACCACAACATCTGAAGTAGAGGAGCTGTATTCCATTCAGGGCCTCCACCCTCCTTCTATTCTAGCACCGATTGCACCGGAGCCTCCAGCAGCAAGTGTCGGGCAACAACAGTTTTCACAGATCCCCCTCACAGACGTGGATAAACATTCAGTTAAGGAGCCTGCAGAGAAGCTGCAGCCACGGCCAACTGCTCCCAAGACCAAACCTCTGAGCTCCACCGAGCTGCTTTATGGAGGCGCTGCATTAGTAGCAGTTGTGGGAGTGGTGGCATATAGTGCAGTGATGTACTGCAGAAAGTAGAAAACCTCTCTCTGAATCCCCCAAACCACCTTTCAGCACATTTTTTCTCTTGTTTTTAAATCTATTCCAAACTAAATATTCCACCACATCACTATCCAATTAATGGATTTTACTCTCTAACGCTGTTTGCTAATTAGACACACTGATCTGATGTTTTTTAATTCGTTTTGTGCTACCTCAGCTCACAGCAGAGCTTGTGGCCTTTGTTTTTCTTTTTGATCTCTGAGGAAATGTATCCAATAAAATGTAACCTGAAATACACAAATCACTTTAAGTGCAATTTTAAACTTCCCCATACTTGAAGGGTTTCTTTGTGCGTGTGTGTCATTACTTCACCATATTAGACAAAATGCCACTTCCTCTGTAAATAGTACTGTCATTGTTTTAGCAACACTGAAAAGCACATTATCATAAACATTACACACTAAATGGAAAGTTTCAGAGTACAGGGCAACAGCGATTGGACTGAAAGCCCAAAAACTGCATCAGCATCTCACAAACGTTTTTGCCATAAAAGTTTTTCTGCACAACATCTATAAAGCCTGCAGTCAAAGCCCTTTTACTTATGTTTCTGCATGTTCCTGCACGCCATGTATCGCTCTGTCCAGGCATATGTCTATATTGAAGGCAGGTTATGATCACACCCACACCACCAGTACTCCCCACCAGAACAGTCCATGTAGAGTACTTGTCACGGTCTGCAGAGACAGACCATGCAGTGGTGTGTGTAATGGACCCAGGTGCGTACACAAGTGAGTAGACGGGAGTGAACTTAACAGAAAGCGAGCCTTTATTATGGCTGAAGACAAAGTGTATAAACAACGCAGGGATAGCGTGACTAGACTATAACTAAACTGGGAAAACTAATACTGTGACAAACTAAGAAAACTCAGAGACTAAGATGATCACTGAAAGGACTGACCGTGAAAACATGGAGGTGAGGACACAGACGACGCGACACAGACTAAATGAAACACAGAGACTAAATACACATGAGGGATGATCAGGGGAAGTGGCCACACATGGGAGCACAGCTGACACACATGAACCTAACGACAGGACAGAAGAGGTGAAACTAAATACACTGACATTGAATACAGACTTTCAAAGTAAAACAGGAAACATGGAGATTAGACATGACATGAACTAAACATAACCATGCAGACATGACTCATGACAGGTAGACGCACAAACCAGGGAGACGGAGTACAGGGGAAGATGACAGAAGCGACAGCATGAACTTGACAACACAAGACACACAGACATAAACACATGAAGGGCAAGGGAGGCTTAATACAAGGCTAATATAATTACAAATGAGCTGGAATAACTTAATGAACCTAAACAAACAATAAACATCAAAATAGACTAAACACAAAACACTGGGTCGCACGACCCAGGACCATGACAGTACTGTTAATATTTCAATCCCCAACACCACTGAATGAGAGCATGGATACAACCATTAGGAAAAGAGATTCGTTGTATCTAAATATCACAATTTCAAGCTGTTACTCTGATAATTTTGTGTGAAAATATTGCATTTTGTACTCCGTATTATTTATTTTAAAGCTTTACCTACTAATATGCTAACTAGTAATGTGTAGGTAATGCACTGTAATGCACCGTATTGAAAAGCGTCTGGACTCTTCCGGTCCAGCCGCTTTTCTTTCCGAGGGCCTTATACTACCATAACCTGGATGACTGAGGACCTTCACAGACTTCATCATGTTCACTTCAGGTATTTTAAACAGTTTTTGATTCTCTAAAGCACTGGGAAAAGTTTGCCACCACACATTTACTTTATATGATGCTTACAATTAACTGAAACATGTGCAGGCACACATAGAATTGCTGTATATCCTGTATTTCTAACAGTTTGCACAATGTTAACCAGCTTCAAAGTCTATATTTGGCATGACCACTTTTATTCTTCAGTACATCTTGAGTGCTATTTTTTTTGTAATTTCTGTAAGTTGTCCACAGGAATAGTTCCCCGGGCTTCTTGAATTGTGACAATTTAGTCATAAAGTTCGTTTACTGTAGATTTAGAGTTATATGCGAGTTGTATGTATATACACACATACGTA